CCAGAACTACAGGCGTGCGTTACCACGCCTGGCTAATTTTTTTGATTTATTGTAGAGATGAGGTCTCACCAAGTTGCCCAGGCGGGTCTCGAACCCACGGGCTCAGGCAATCCACTCACCTCAGCCTCACAAGGCGTGGGATTACAGGCTGAGCCACCAAGCCCAGCTTCCTAGAATCTTGAGATTTAGAAAATTTTAACTCTGGATTTTGACATTTAGACTCCTATATAAACATCACTACTTAGAAACTTCCTAATGAAATTTCCTTTGTATGAATTCAGTAAGCAAGTATGGTTAAGTATTTAGATAATATAGAGAGTAATAGGGGCCTGCCATTTTTCAGAATCTAGCTAAACCGGGAAAAAGGTATCATACGTCATCCATCTTAAAGAGAGAGTAGTGACACAATACTTGAGCTGTCATTGAGTCTGACATAACTAATCCAACTGTTATATAGAAACACATTTGTGGGTTGGGCATAGTGGCTCATGCCTGTAATCTCAGCACTTTGGGAAGCTGAGGTAGGAGGATTGCTTGAGATCAGGATTTCAAGGTTACAGTGAGCTGTGATAGAACCACTGTATTCAGTCCTGGGTGACAGAACAAGACCCTGTCTCTAAACACACATGCAGATACACATATACACACACATTTCTGTTTGGCTTTGTAAAGTTTTGAATTTAAATTTGTAGCTTCAAGAGCTACCTTGCATATTTTTCAAATTAAGGCAAACGGCTACTATAAAATAAAATTTCTTTTTTGAGTTGGGGTTCACTCTGTCACCCAGGCTGGAGTGCAGAGGCACTGTCACAGCTCAGTACAACCTTGACCTCCTGGGCTCAGGCATTCCTTCTGCCTCAGCCTCCTGAGTAGTTGGGACTACAGGTGCATGCCACCATGCTTGGCTAATTTTTAAAATTTCTTTGTAGAGACAAGGTCTCACTATATTGCCTAGGCAGGTCTCAAACAATTCTTCTATCTTGGCCTCCCACAGGTCTGGGAATCTAGGTGTGAGCCACTGTGCCTGGCCTAAAATAGCTTTTCTTAAGGGATGCAATCTATATGAAAGTCCCATTCTAGTTTCTGAATTACCTGAGTACTTCAGCAGCCTTTCATCTTCTGCCATTAAAGTTGTCAGGAATAGTACTTTTGTTGATAAATGGAAGATTTTCCTACCTCTCGCTTCCAAATATTTTGTGTGTCTATACCCAAATAAAACAAAAAAGGAAATAACATACCACAGTTCTTATGGCAATCAAACAGTACTTGGCAACGACCCAATAAGTTACAGAAAAGGATAATGACACACATTCCAAGGAGATCTCCCCTGCCCCCCAGCTTTCCTCTACCCACTTCTACTCCAGTAAATGTGGTTCCTCATAAGTGTCAAAATCAGCGTAAGCAGTTAGGAAGACTGTTATGTCTGTCAGTACCACTCTAAATCTATAGGTTTGAAGACTATAAAATACATATATTAACATCACTTTGGCTCTGTTGTTGTTGTTGATAATTTCATCCATGTCAGTCCTCCAAATATACTTTTGCCAAGGTCTTTAGTATTTGTATGTTCCAAGTCACAATGATCAAACCTTAGTTCTTATCTTAATTTTCAGCAACATTTGACATGTTGATCTCCCTCCTCAATGAAATACTTTTCTTCCCTTAAATACTTTTGATTTTTCCTACTCATCACTAGTCACTTAATCTCAGTCTCCTTTCCTGGTTCCTCATCATTATCTTGGTCTTTTAATTAATATTGCTATTGCCTAGGCTCAGTCCAGTTTACAGCTTTCTTAGTGATTTTATCCAGTATTATGGTATTAAATACCACCTATATGTTTCCAGTCTTGATCTTTCCTTTGCTGTCTAGACCTGTTTATTCAGCTGCCTATTTGACATCTGTGTTAGGATGTCTAACAGACATTTCAAACTCAATGTGTTCAAAAGTTAGCTTTTGGTAGCCTTTCTCTTTCCTGGTTCTCGACCCTATCTCATTTAATGGCACCTCCATCCTTTAGGTCTGCTATCTTTGAGTCATCTATGATGCTTCTTTCTTATTTTTAGTATATCAGCAAATCCTTTGGGCTCCACTTTTTTTTTCTTTCATACTTGAGTTTATTGGTTGTGTTGAGGATCAGTACACAGACATTTCAATTTGTACACAGTTCTTAACATAACGTACCGAAAATTGGAAAAGTCATGTATTATTATTTTTAAAAAGTTATTCCAGTGACTTTCCAGCTTAAAATTTGGAGGCAAATTTTCCTTAAGAAGATATCAAGTACCAGTATCTTCAAATGTTGATAAGCTGTTACATACATCCCACCAATGCACAATTTATCATATATACAACATACTCAATTTTTCAATCTTTCACAACACATTAACAAAGTTATCAGGAAAACAAGACAACCACGACCAAAGATGTTACAGAGCGCACACAATTCTGACAGGGAGAGCCATGATCAAGGAGTGGTATTCTTTAGGAAACAATTCTACTCAAAAACAACATGGTAATAGAAGTAATTTTAAATGTTCAAGACATTAAATGCAGGACTGTGATCCATATTGCCACTTAGTATACTTTGCATTATAGGATATAAAAACTAACCCCCCATCTATGGAATGTTAAGCTGATACTCAAGACAGTCAAAGTCTCCTGTAATTCAACATCCTACACTATTTTCTGGTTGTACCAAAAAATAAACAACCAGCAAATGATTTCACCTCTTAAAAAAAAGCATTTACACTTAAAAAATGGGATGAGATGGGATTCCTTCCTTCTTAAAAATGTTTCTAGAGCTACTAAAAAACTTACATTTACAAAATAGTTGATAAAAATATTCCTTTGGATTCTACAAGAAGGGAGACAGGGACCACTGATAAGACATGGGATATGATATTATTCAGGCTTGTCTTCTTTCTCTCCTGCTTCATCAGAGGCTGGATTCTCTCCTCAGTTTTAGTTTTTCCATTTTCTGCAGGTAACTCTTCTTTAGTTTCTTGGTTAGCCACTTCAGCCTGCTTTCCCTTTGCTCCCTTTTCCCTTTTGCTTGCACTTTTTTGTCTGAAGATTTATCCTTTTCTGCTGCCTTTTTTGGCTTTGCTTCCACTTTTGCAGGAGCAGGTTTAGCCGACAACCGCGCCGATCTCCTCTTGGGCTCCTCCTTCGCCGCCCCCTCGGTGGAGCTGACCTTCCTCTTGGGTATCTTGGCGGCGGGCAGGGTGCGTACCGGGTGCCTGCAGGCAGCGGCACGGAGAGCCTTCGCGAAGCTGGGCTGCCGAATCGCCACCGCTCCTCCCGCCGCTTGAGCTGCTGAGACCCGTGGCGGGGGCGGGAAAACCGGATCAACTTTTCAAATAAGTTTAAAATTTGCCTGTTTCTTACTACTTTCAGTGCTGTCATCGCATCTCTTCTTTTATCTCTTTTCTCCTGTATTATTGTATTAACCTCCTAACGAGTCTTCCAGCATTTATTCTTGCTCTACTAGGGTTGATCCTTAACACGAGAGCCAAAATGATGCTAATAAAACTTTAGCCAAATGATGTTATTCCTGTGATCACAACCTTCTAGTGTCTTCTTTTATTATTCACTCTTGCATGGTCTTTAGGGCCCCACAGTCTTTCTTTCTATTAACCCTCTGACATCGTATTCTGTTTTCCTTTTACTCATTCTACTCTAACCACGGTGGCCCTTTTGCTGTTTCTTGCCAATTTCCTTAAATAGCTTAATTTTAATTGGGAATCAAACCATGAAAGAAGGCAAAATTTGGGGGGGGGGGCACACAACATCCATAAGGTTACCTAATTTCAAACAAGGTGACGTGGGGACCAAAGGGAGACTTTACTCGTACTTTACTCGTACGATGACTACTTGTATACTTAATCTTGAATTGTACCCCACATCTTTAAAGTAAAATAAAAATTAAAAAAAAAAGAAAGAAGACAAAACTAAGTTCTATTTAATTGTGTCCAAATGTGGGCTATATAAAAGTGCTCTGAGAGCTCAAAGAGGGAAAGGTGAACTAGAAGAGCTTGAAACAGGTTGGGCTTGAAATGTAAAAAACAGGCAGACAGTCAATGATAGACGAGGAAACAAAGATTAAAAAGTATCACTCCAAACATTGTCTGTCTTATTCTTGTAGAACCTAAACATGTCTCATACATAGTTTACTTACCAAATAAATGAATTAATGTAGTAATGAAAGCATAGTGCTACATAATCAGTGAAAATAGCTTCACCAAGAGTATGTGCTGGCAAAGAAAATGAATGAAGATGTTTGGTGGATCCAAGTCTGAAGGATTTGGATGCCAGGATAAAGATTTTGGACTCGTTTAAATAAATGTTAGAAAACCAGCCCGTGTTCTTTAATAGAAGAAAATCCATTGTGTAAATAGTGTGCTAGGAGGTTTTGTCTACGATTACAGAGCCTTCTAAGAGAACTTCAATACAGAATGAGATTCTATTTGTATCTGTGCTGACCATTGTAATAGCCACTAGCCACATGTGATTGTTGAGCACTTGAGATGCAGCTTGCATGACGAAGGAACTAAAATTTTAATTTTCCTTAATTGTAATTTAAATAGCCACCTGTAGTTACTGGCTGTCATACTGGACAGTACAAGGGAATATTGGATGTTTTGAAAAATGAACAGACTAGATTTAAGAGGACAAGTAGTCAGCTTTTAGAGCAAACCATGCATGCAATGTAAATGATGCAATGTAAAAAAGGGACGATACCAGTTATTTAGAAGGAAGGTTCAACAGAACTTAATGAAACTAAGATGTAGGAAGGAAAGAAGGGAGACTTAAAGAAGAATTTCATTTTAAGCCGAGACTCTGGAATGAAAAACCCAACTATTAAGGAAATAGGAGATTTAGGGCAAGCTGAAGCGTGATTTATTCGATTGGTTTCAAGTTTGGGTATATTATGTCTTTGATGAAGGTTAGACTGGCCAAGTAGAGAGATTTTGTATTTGGAAGTAGAAAATTTGGGGTTAGGTAATGGTGATAGTAACTTAGAGATAATAGTTGAAATCATGAATGGACGGGCTTTGAGCAAATAGAGAGATGAAGGTGGTGATTAGTGTCAAATGCCAAAGAGAGATTAGAAATGAAGACTGATTGAATTTAGTCATACAACTATAACTACGTTCAGCAGAGAAAGAAACCCTAGAGATCACCATCTAATCTGTTAATTTTACAAATGAGGAAAGTGATACTCTCAAATCTGTGAAATGATATCTTAGATATACACATCTCATAATTATCAAATTGAGGCTTGAACCTAAATTCACTGCTGACCTTTTCAGTTTACTGCTTTTCCCATTATGTTAGCAAAGCAATAAAATATGAGTGAGAAATATTTCAGTAGATGGACACTAGGTAACAGAGTGGTAAGAAAATGAAATATGGGAGAAATGAAGTTAATGTGGGCAGCTTCTTTGAGAATTTTGACAATGAAAGAAGGAAATTGGGGTGGGTTGCAATTGGAAGAGACAGCAAAGTAAAATCAAAGTTTTTTCAGTACCAGAAATATCATTGAATAAACTTTTCTGGCATGACAGCAAGGGATAAAAGTGACAAAGTGGTATTATCTGCTTCTTATATTGCTGCAGTATAAGATGAAGTAATTGACTCAAAATTGTAGGAGATATCAATTATGGAGCCAGAAATAGTCTTTAGATCTATTGAAACTATTCAATGAGCAAACCTATTCTTATATGCTGAAAAAAGTGCTTTATGCACATTGTTTTTGTCTAAGATATAGATTGTTGATATGATTGGCATTTTACTTGGAAAGATATGACTTCAAAATATTTCTTTTTTTTGAGGCTTCTTCATCTGCTAAGGTCTAAAAAGACTTCAAAAAGGCAAATCTTTAGCATGAAGACTCTGAGTATGTTCTTTTTATAACATTTTTTTGAGTCAGGCTCTCACTCTGTTGCCCAGGCTGGAGTGCAGTGACATGATCACAGCTCACCATACCTCAGCCTCCTAGGCTCAGGCGATCCTGCCACTTCAGCCTCCCGAGTTGCTGGGACTACAGGTGCTTGCCACCATGACCACCTAGTTTTTTGATTATCTTTGTAAAGACGAGGTTTTCTATTTTTTCTAGACTAGTCTTGAACTCCTGGTCTCAAGCAATCCTCCTGCCTCAGCATCCCAAAGTGCTGGAATTACAGGCATGAGCCACCATTCCCAGCCTTCTTTTTATAACTTTTAATTACCCAGCTACCACTTAGAGGACATTTACCATGATATCAAAGGACCAACTACCATGTAAGTTAAATATACCACATATGCTCGTTTACATCTTTAAAATGTGATATCATGCTGAAGAGAGCATGTTAAATGAAATTGTGAATACAGATGATAAGAATGGCATCTAGTGAAAGAGAGATAATTTAAGATTGCTAAGGACCCAGAAGATTGTTTTATTATTTTAGCTATTGTTAGAAAATGTGATCTTAAGAGATTACCTTGGCTTCAGCCTATGTAGAAAATTAAGTATCAAAATATAAGAGATCTTTTAATTATACAATGATGTCTAGAAGTAAAACCCAACAAGGAAATATAAGCTGGAAATTCCATCTTAGTGTTTAATTTCTGCTACCAACTCATTTCTGAGAGCTCATGACCACTCTTAGTTGATTTGCTGCTGCTAGGAAGTATCTATATACTGTATTATGATGGAAAATGTTGTGTTTCTACCTTAAGTCACTGAATTCTGAATGAATTGCTTGATCTAGATAGGGTTGTTTGATGGTGGATTCTCAGAAGAAAAAACACAAAGAGCAAACATTCTTTTAGAATGGAGTTTGGTTACTCATCCTCAAACTTTGAGTTTCTTCAAAGGAGGAAAACCTCTTTTAAAAAGAGTATATTAGCCGGGCTCAGTGGCTCAGCCTGTAATCCCGCGCCTTTGGGAGGCTGAGGTGAGTGGATTGCCCGA